AAAAGGTTCCGAAAATTATATCACCAAAAAATTCATTGATTAACACATACGAAAAACTGAGAAAATTATCTGATTCTTGTTGAATGTCCCCTAAATACTAAAAAATAGTGTGGATCATGGTAAAGCTACATGTATTGTTCCACCAAGTCATTATGGAGGATCATGTAAAGGTTTCGGAAAAAAAAAAAAGTTCCCAAAAACCATATCACCAAAAAAATCATTGACTAACATACAAGAAAAACTTGGAAAATCGCATAATTTCTATTGAGTGACCTTTAAATGCTAAAATAATTGTGTGGATCATGGTGAGGCTATACGTACTGCTCCATTAGGTCATTATTGAGGGTTGTGTAAAGATTTGAAAAAAAAATGGTCGAAAATCTTATCACCGACAAATTATTTGAGTAACACTCATGAAAAAAAAAATCGCCTAAGTCTTGTTGATTGACCCCTAAATGCTAAAAAATGATGTGGATCATGGTGAGGATATACATATTGTCCCCCAAGAATATTACGAAAGGTCCTGTAAAGGTTTTGAGAAAAAAAAAAAGAGTTCAAAAACCATTCACCAAAAAATTTATTGACTAGCACGCATGAAAAACTCAGAAAATCGCTTAATTCGTTTTGAGTGACATCTAAATTCTAAAAGAATGATTGGATAATGGTGAGACTATACATATTTTCCCCTTGGTCATTACGGAGGGTCTTGTAAATGTTTTGGAGAAAATGCCAGAAAATCATATCGCCAAAAAAATCATTGATGCACAAGAAAAATTGAGAAAATTATCTAATTCATGTTGAGTGGTCGCTAAATGTAAAAAAAAAAATCGTGAATCATGGTGAAACTATATGTATTGCTCCCCGAGATGATTATGGAGGATACTGTAAGGGCTTTGCAAAAGTGCCGAAAACTATATCACTAAAAAAAGATTGACTAACACACACATAACTTTAAAAAAACGTCTATTTCCAATTGACTGGCACCTAAATGCTAAAAATATCGAAACAAAATCGATAACCCGTTACTTTATTTTAGTGTATTAATTTAAAATGACACGAAATTAAAAAAAAATAATGATAAACATTTAAATCGGGTTGAAAGTGATATTTGTTCTTGAAACAATGTATAAATGAAAGTTTGCGTGTCATATTTAATGAAACACTGTGATATATGGATTAGCATTAGTTTTCAAATTGTAAGCAGATCGAAAAATTGTTTAAAAAGTAATGAGGATTGGCTCATGCTATTAGGCAATAATATTTAATTTTACTATTTTTTTCCTGTTAAATATCAAATGTGACTCACTAATATGTTGTCTAATGATTAATATAAAGCTTTTGGATTTGGCAGATGTTGTTTATTCTTTAAAAAAAAACACCCAAAGGATTATTAAAACCATATGGAAAAAGCACAAAAAATTAGGTTTACTAGACAAATTTAATCAAAATTTACGATTTGAGTGAATTTTGATTATATCATCAAACCACTACATTATACAATTTGCTACCAATAATATGGGTGTGATTTGCACAAATAAAATGTTGAGTGTTATCATTCAAACTTCCGTTATAACAAGTTATAAAAATAGATTCGCAAAATATAGATGAGTTGTAACTAATATTATCGATGTATTATATCGAAAATAACCAATTCATGAAAATAGATGTACATAATATTTTGACAAAGATCCTTAATATTCTCAAATCCTATGTTAGAATTGGTCATTCCTAATAATCTTCTATACAAGCAAAACACTAGTTCTACCTACATTTGATTATCCTAGTCTTATACTACAAAATAGGAGTACAAAATATTTATTTTCTAATTGATTTTCATTATATTTTTTTAAGGGTTTTTTTTATAACAATAAAAATTCCCAAATTAAATTTAAATTTTTGGATGGATAAGGATGTCTATTGAAAAACAAGAAGTTGTTTAAAGTATATAATTTCTCCCTTTTATTAAAACTAGAATGCATAATCAATTAAATTAAGTTATTCAATCACATTTACAATATGGTTATGGTTTCCAATTTTCCTAAAAAGAAATCTATTTTAATTTTTATTTATATTGTCTTGGACTTGGTTAATTTTTGTTCTTGTCAATCATTTATCAATAGTAATTTAGATGCTACTGGATTTTCATCAGCAGTGGCAACTTGGTATGGAGATCCCACTGGAGCTGGAAGTGGTAATTTCTAGAAAATCATTTTTTACACGATTAGTATAATTTAATATGTTATAACAATATGAACAGTTATCGATAAAAAAAAATTGTGTGTGTGTTTAGGGGGAGCTTGTGGACTAGAAGATGACGTAGCAAAAGCACCATACAACGCGATGATAACCGCGGGAAATCAAGTTTTATTGAAACATGGTTTAGGATGTGGTGCATGTTATCAGGTACGTACGTACTTTCTTATAATAACGTACTTAGTATCAATCAGTCTAACAACATTTAAATTCTGAATCTGTCGTTTTTCAGGTATTATGTAATCAAAATGAAGAATGTTCACAAAATCCAATAACAGTAACTCTTACAGATGAGTGTCCAGGAACATGTAATGATGATCCAATTCATTTTGATTTAAGTGGAAATGCCTTTGGAGCTATGTCAAAATATGGCCAAGCGGACCAATTACGTAATCTTGGAAGAATTGATATTTATTATAAAAGGTGAGTGAGTTTCTTTATAATAAACTTAAAAAAAATTGTACAATATTATTTTATGAATTTAACTTATTATAAATATGTTAATAATGTAAAAGAATTTGCATTATCTATGTGATTTAACATGTTAAAAAAACATTGCAAAAAATCTTTCATCGGTTTTGGGTGTGTTTTAGTAGTGTTACTTGTTTTATTTTTCATCGACTGGAATTAGTTATAAACTTCATTGTTAGTTTATTCGTAGCTAACTGAAATTCATCGCTTATTCAAATTAGCGACAGATTTTATTGTTTCACTACAAAATTTGTCTAATTTTTTTAGTTGTATTCTTTGGTTAATTCTTCTTGTGATTTTTTTCAGGGTGGCATGCGACCACAAGCAAAATATTATGTTTAAGGTTGAAAAAGGATCAAACCCTCGTTTCATTGCAATTGCAATTGAAGCTCAAAATGGAGATGGTGATCTTTCTTTAGTTGAAATAAAACATACAAATTCAAATGAATGGCTTCAAATGCAACAAATGTTTGGAGCAACATGGTCAATAAATATTTATCCAGACACACAAATACCTCCTTTCTCTATTAGGTTAACTTCACAAAATAAACATCAAGTTCAAGCTGATAATGTCATTCCTATGAATTGGCAAGCAAAAGAAATTTACTATTCAAATGTCAATTTTTCTCCCTAATTATAAAGTTTTTTAGTTTTATTTTTGGAGGATTTGAGGAATTTTAGAGATTACAAAATGAATTTTTGGACTTCCTTTGTATACCAATAATATGATATATCAAATTCTTTATTTAAATTGAGGAGCTTGCTGTGATACAATTTTTTGACCTAATAAACTTATAAATGATACATGTATTTAATTAAATAACAGATGAATCAATGAGTTATCATAATTTTCTATTAACATATACATTCCTTTTAAATTTATATCCTATTCTATTATTATATATCCTAGTTTTATCAAACTTTTATTGTTAATCAATATTTAATAGTAATGTAGTTCTAAAAATACTCAAAATATCACATATTTCTTAGATATAAGGACCATAATCACACATTTTAATTTATTGAAGGTTAAATATGCAGAGTCATACCATATCACGAATTCACATCAGAAATCACCAACATGAACACTAGGGGTGTACAAAACCAAACCGAAAACTGAACCAAACCGCAAGCTGAGTCAAACTAAAAAAAAAAGACCCGACTAGTGGTTTGGTTTGACTTGGTTTGGTATTGGGAAAAAAAATCCGACTATATTTGGGTTGGTTTGGTTTCAACTAAAAAAAACCAACAAGACCAAACCAACCCGACATTATATATATAATTTTAAAATTTTATTTTATACGTAAAAATATTTACTTTGATATAATTTTTAAATATTTCTTGTACTTTTTCATAGTTTTTATCTTTTAATATATTATTTCATGTTTAAAAGTTAGAATTCTTAATGGTCCAATAAAGATTATAGTCCACAGATGTTGGTAATAGTAATAAAACTTAAATCAAAATCAAATTAATACTAATGCAAAAAGAAAATCAATTCAACACTAAGAATGACAATAATATTAAATATTTGTTCTTTAGTTTTACATAGGTTTAGACAATTAAAATACATAATCTGATTTTATTTTCCTTTAATATTTAGTCATGTAACTAATACTTATTAAACTTATTTTAGCATGATTTAGTACTTTTAATTATGATCATTGTCATTATTACATATTAATTTGCAATATTTGTTTTACGCGATTTCATTATTATTTTTTTGTTGGATATTTTAGTGTCATTAATCCTATCATATTTTGTGTCATTTTCTTAAGAAACACCTTAGATAGTTGTATTTTGGTAGGACTAAATAAATATTTGAAATATAAGTAAATTATATGTTTGTATGAATACATTACCCAAAAAACCCGAAAAAAACTCAAGGTTGAAAAACCTGAGTTTTATTGGTTTGGTTTGGTTTATAAATTCAAAAATCCGACACAAATGGTTTGGTTTGATTTTGAAAAACCCGAATCAACCCAACCATGTACACCCCTAATGAACACCAATAAAATCTTGAATTGCGTATAGAAAGAAAATTAACCACTTCTATTCTTGGAGTTGAGGTAGACCAAACTCAAAATTTACCAACAATTGATGGACCAAAGTTTCTATTATCCCAATTATAAAATTAGAGAAATTGATTGAGAGATGTGTGATGTTGTATTGTCATGAAAATTCAAATGTTAATTTACATAACTTTAATTGTGTGATGAAATCTACACAAAGAAATTTGGCATTTACATATTTGGTCTATTTGCTTCAAATGAAGGATTACTCTTCTCATTTGTTCTTAACAATTTGTTGCTGCACCACCAAGACTGAAACTGGTCTATTGATCTCTGCAGCTGCAAGCATGTCACCAACTGGTCCAAGTTCTGGCAAATCATTCCATTCATTAAGCCCTAATAGTTGTTGTAGATCGTCGCGATGACGCCTTCCGACCATGATAAGATCAAAGGCTTCTTCCATAGCATGTATGATCAAAGCTGTTTCAGCTCCATCTCTAACTCTTTCCTCTCTGTATACAATGTTATCCTGGTGCTGACCAAGAAGTCTTACCTCCTTCAACATCTCAGCATCAAGTACAGCATCCCACTGGTTTTCACGTACGTCGATGTCCCATGACACGAATCTAACCACAGTCAGTTGAAGTTCAGGTGATCTTGACATACGTTTAGCATAAGCTAACGCCTCACGATCATCATTGCCTCCCATGAAAACCACGGATACTTGATACATTGATGACTCATTACCGGATTGACTGGCTAGACGTTTTATTTTCTGACGGTCAATTAGGATACCTACAGAACAAGGGGCCAAGTCCAATACATTATTGTTGATTGTTCTCAAGTTACTGCTGTCCAAGATAATCTTCCCCTGCTGATTCCATTTCCTGTGAAACGGGAGTATGATCATGGACGCTAACTTGTCGAATGCAAGTGAACAAATGTCCTGATGCATGAACCTTGGCAGTGACATTGAGGTGAAGAAATGAGTACTAGCAGATCCCAAGAACTGAGTTTCAAATGCTATAAAAACTTCCACCATCTTTTGCGATCGAGCAACGCCAGAAGTATTCTTTTGGCCAAGCTGATGATCAATTAGAACTGGGGATGCTCGACCAGCAAGTTCCACCAAGTGTAGCGCATACACAGATAAAGGACTTTCTTTACATGGAAAAGAAGCATCTAAGATCTTTCGAGCACCTACGACATCATCAAATCGATGAGCACATGAAAGCAAGCGCAACTCAGAATTGCTTGAAGCATGTTGGATGTCTCTTTTCTGATAACCGGCATATATCCTTGTATGATCATAGAGCGTTCCAACGCAGAAATGTGAGAGTGCAGCTATGAGTAATACAGATGCAGTTAGCATGGAAAAGGTTTCTCCATCAACTGTCTGTGCTTCAATAAAGGAGAAGAGAAAACAGAATTAGAAGTCTGGCTGAAAAAGGTTATTAGCACGTAGGACACATATTGTCATTGTCATGTAGGATGCCACATAGGATGTGTATGTCTATTTGTTCAGCTCTATACAAATTTAAGTTTTTACTTGTGTACATCCAAAGTTGGAGGACATAAATGTGAAATGATGCCAAGTTAAAGGGCTTATTTATGTATTATGCCTAAAGAAACTGTAGTAATATTCCATGGAAAACATTTATACGTTACAGTACGTACTGCAGGCTCAGCAACACAATCTCAAAACTGTATTAATGGAACAGCAATATTAAGATATTGAAAGGATGATTAAATAATTACCTGATTAATAACATTGTTCAAGTAAAAAGACATCTGAATAACACCTTGTGAGGTCATGATGAAGGCAAGAGCCGCAGCATCTTTTGGGGGAACCTTGCAGGCCAATGCTGGAAGGAAAACTGATGCGTACTTCACGGTGAGACAAAAGAACACCATAACCCATACCCAATTCAGGAAGACGAGATCATACAAATCAACCAGATTTACTTTCATACCACAATAAGTAATCAGAAGAGGTGCAAGCATACCAGATACTAAGGTTTCTAATTTATCTACCAATGTTGACCCGAGAGGTGGACCGTCTGGTATGACAAGACCTAGGATAAAAGGACCATATTGGTAATTAAGCCCTGCATTATCAACAAGAATCACAGCTAACAGGACACAGACCGATGCCCAAGTAATGTAAACAGAATTTACAGGCCTGCCTTCTGGAGTCCTTTTGATGACCCAAAGTGAAATAGGTCGCACAGTAAACACAATAAGCAAGATTATACCAAGAAGTAGAACAAAAGACTGTACAGAGATAACCGTCGTAATCTCTGCCAATAATCCAATTCTAAGGGTGGAGAAGATAGTCAACCCCAGATTACTAAATAAGTCACTGATCAAACTTGATGCCAGAGCAAGACGACCAAGCTCAGAATTCATGATTTTCAGGTCAACAAGGAGAGATGCAACCACAGGAAATGCAATCAAACCTTGTATCAAGAAAATACTTTGGGCTGCCGGTTGTCGATATCTGTGCATATTTGCATCTTGTGAAAAGAATCCAAAATACAAGCTCGCAAAAGAGGCAACTGGTAGAATGACAGCAAGTAATCCTATTGTCCACGCCCTTGAACCACTTCTCAACACCACTTTTGGGTCCATCTTCACTCCACTTAGAAATATAAAGAAGATATACCCAATTTTTGACATTAAATCTATGAAAATTTCTCCTGATTGTGGGAATAAATTCTCCGTAAAGTTCGGGATCTTTCCTAGCATTGTTGGTCCTAGTATGATACCTGCCTGTAGGTGGAAGACAATACCATCACATCTTGAGTTAAACACAACCATAAATGAAACTACAACAATATAATATCCAGTGTAATCCCATAAGTAGGGTCAAGGGAGGGTAGAGTGTACGCAAACCTTACCCCTACCTTGGGAGGACAAGCATAAATGAAATTCAGTACACATTTTCATATAATTTAGCATTCGTGCCTTTGGTAGTCTAAAGAGTCACCACTTTAGCCTTTTGATGCAACAAGAACAATATGTTGGGAATCAGGAGGGGGAAATACAAGATTTTTCGTTCTTTTTCCAGTCGAAAATAATAGGAAACACTAGGATTGAAGGAAAAGAATAACAAGTTGCAGTGTATATTAACAAGGCTTAGAGAAACTTGATTTAGCCGCATCTTTTTGTGTGTTCATGTAGTTATATGCATTAAAACATTGCCGAGCATATATAACCTATGTTGCTCGGACTCCCCAAAAATGTCAACAAATGCGTGTCAGATTCTCCAAAAGTAGTGTGTTTTGCGCAACTTACTATTTTATTATAAAAACTACTCCCTATGTCTCAACCTATAGGGCACTGTTGGAATTTCGAGACTCAACCAAGTTTTTCTTTCACCGAAATTCCCTCTTTAAAATATTTCAAGCTATTAATTTTGTGATTTATAACCTAATATATAAATTTTATTTCAAAAAACTTAAAAGCTACAAAAGTTTAAAAGTCTCAAAATTTCAATTGTGTAATATAAGCAGAGGAAAGTAGTTTTCTTTTTTTACTATTTGCATATCCCATAGCCTGAAGCTAACCCTAACACCAGGATTTTTAAAAATAACAACATTATGAATAAATGTGAAGAGAGAAAATAATACCAAAATCTCAGAGATAAGACGGGGAAGACGGATGCGCTTGAGAACCAAATGAAGGGATTGTGTGAGGATAAAAATGACAGCTAATTGGAGAAGCAACAGCGGCAAATTGAAATCGAGGAATAAACTCGGATTGGGTAAACCCCATATACCAGGTGAATGAAGAGGTATTTCTGCATAACATTTTTCATTAACCGCACCGGGTAATTCCCCGGCTAATTTCACTGATGTTGCCGCCGCTGTCGCCATTGATGATGATGATAATGATAATGGTGACCTTGGCTAGGTCGAATCACACCCACATTTGAAGAGAAATTCAACAATTTTTGTTTAGAGATTTGTAGTAGTATCATTTTTTGTTTGAAGCAAAAATGGAGGGACGAAAATAGTATTACACCCGTAAAATATTCAATACCTTTGGTTTTGTTTTGCAGAAGGCAATGTAGCGGGAAAGATGAAAATACATATAGGAGGAGTTAACATCATGTCTTCGCTTCGAGTCATTGGAATTTAGTTGAATCTAACATTAATATTGGACATCAAATGAAAATAAAAATAAGACAAAGTACTTAAAATAAATACTTTTTAGGAAAATAATAGAATTTCTTAGTTATTTTTCTATGTTTAGATATATTTTAGAAGCTTTTTTATATGATCTAGATTGATATTATGGGATATAAGGAGATGGGAGTTACATGAGTGAAGAAGAAAATGAAGTGTGTTACAAGGTTGATAGTAAAATTATATTTATGTACGAATTATGATAATGTAATCAGTCATTAATATATATTTTGCATTTTTTTCTTGGAATAACATCCTCTTCTGACCACTATGACTAAAATGTTTTGTGCATCAACCTGTTTTTGTTTTATAAGGTTGATATATGAATCGAAACTCTAGAAAAAATAATTATGATTATTTACTTCAGGCGCAAGTATATTTTAGTGAACTAATTACAATTTGATTTTAAATTATCTTTTCTTCATTGGTTGATTACTTCTAGAAAAGTATAATTTTAGTTATATTTGAACATGTATTCACTTGAAAAAAAATAATTAGAGATTTGTAAGTGAATATAATATTATTTCACGGGATACATATTATCTCGCGCCAGCAACCGGTACCATGTAACAATATATTGAATTTGTTTTACCTCTGAATTTGGTAATCAAACTCAATCAACTAATATTAATATTGTGTGAAACCATTAATATTAGCTACCAGGCTATAACCTTTGTCAAACTCAATCAGTACAAAATGAAATGTTAAAAATTAAGTAGCATGAGATAAGAAAACAATCACCAAGTAGAAATAATTGTAATCACAAATAATGCAATTTACAAACCAGTTTCATATAAGAATAATTTAAGTAAGATCATCTTCCTCTAGCTCCTTCGCTTTCAACGCTTCCTTCACTCTCAAAAGAAGTGTTGTCCTCCATTCATCCTGTAAGGTGGGGGGAGACGAAAGAAAAGACATAAGTATTGCGATGAACAATTAAAAAAAAGAATAGTGAAGTGTGTTTAGGTTGATTGAGCCAACGAAGTATGAAATTCCTATCTCACTTGGATGAGTGAAATATGAAAACAAGCTTTAGAAAGTAAACATTCTGAAATATCCAGAAAACGAAAGGATTCCTTTCTTTAGTTTAGTCGCGTGGGACTGGCACTATCGAGTAGAGTACATAAAATGAACTGCCAAAGGTGTTACCAGTTACTACATATAACATCTATATGAACAATTCTGCAGTTAAGTTCCGATCTCAATATATTCACACAATGCCTGAAGGTTAACTGCAACATCAATCAATCCTGAAATGAAACTACTTCTATGTGGTTTCATAAAATCTGCAACGCAATCTCATAATGGAGCACAAATGGAGTTTATAACCCCATAAAGTGCTAGATAAAAGAAAAAACTCTGAGCAACTTTTCTGCTATGTAGAGCAAGGATTGACGTTGATGTTCAAATATTACTAAGGAGTTAGTAGATAGGAATATACGTAAGCCAAAACCACAAAGAAGAAACCCTAAAATTTACAATTATCAGCAGTTGGTATCTTTTTGTGGGCAAGGAAAGTGGAGAAAACTAAAATTTACCAGCTTTGTCATGCTATCATATTCCTTGAGACAACCAGTAAACTTTGCAACATCTTCCTCGTCAATAGCAGCTTCCAAATCCTGTCATTGCAAGAGTACTCTCCCAAATTAATTCTATATTATCATATTTGGAACACATAATGATCCTGAAAGAAATAACTATGGTATCAAGCGAGAGAACACAGTTGCTCTGGCACTCGCTTAGATGGACCTCAAATTGATGGTTCATCATATTAGTAACTATGTTGGTTAGCAAGCATTGTGCTTATGTCCCAAGGAAATCATTTCTGCGGCCAATTTCTTCTGATTTTGATTATCTATTTCGAAAGTTCTCTTCGATTAAATAATACTACATAGACATTTCTCCTAGTTTTTCACAAACCCCCATTTACCAATATGTTGTTAAGATCTGCACTTTTATCACATCAGTTTACCCTTGCCCAGACTTGACTAATTAATAAATGTGCAAATTGTATGCCTCGAAAATAAAAGGAGTAACAAAAAGATCAGACACAAGTCAACCCGCGGATGAAACTCCATTCTGTGTCCTGGTAATTCATCCCCATATATACATTTCCCCTGTCTGCATTTAAGTTAAAGATCAACCACATTAAAGTTGACAATTCATATTTTGGAAAATTCTTAACAATTTAAACACTTAATACAGTATGTACTTGCTATATACACAGATAAGGCAGGAAAACTTGATTTAAAGAGATGGAGAATGGATCAAGATAAAAGAACTCGCATGCTTGAGTTAAAATACAAGATATGGCATACCACTAGCAACTTGCACTCGCGTGTCCCTGAAAATGTTGGATCCAGTTCCTGCAAGTTAGGATGTATTATTTACTTAAACATATCATGTCCCGTTATAATCTTAGAGACTTAACAAGCAGGACATTTACCTGATATCGCTCCAATGCATTGTTAATTGCAACAACATCACCTCTACAAAGTTGGCAAATACCAGCATTCAGAAGATGACCTCTAACTCCATACTTCAACAAGTTGTTCTTGATGGAGTGTCGTGCTATCTCCTCAAAGATCTCAATTGCTCTTTGATATCTGGGTGACAAATTCTGAATGTTAAGTTAATCCTTTTTACAAGGCAAAATTTCAGTTATTCTTACTTATGGAGCAATTAGAACTTAGAAGTTGAACATTAGCTTATTAACATTTATAACTTATTAAATTATCCACACTTTTAAAATGGCATTTACTGAACATTTCTACTCTTAGTTTGGAATTGACTTCTTTTCTTAATTATCAGTTCTGACTCCTTTTATATCTTTTCCCTTTCTCAACCCATATATTAGTTATGGCACCAGTACTCCAAGAGATTAGGATAGAATTCGATAATTCCACAGAGAAATATATAAGATAAAGAGGGAATCTTGGCATCAAATTCGGACCTCCCAGATTATCCAGAAATTGTCCTCAAGGGAAATTTCTTGCAGTTTCTAGGTCCACTTTTTAACAAGTTGCCTTTGTCTTCAACTGTGTCAACATTTACATGTTCAGCAATGAATTTGCAATTGCCAAACACAATTATTCTTCTTTAGAAAAACTAAATTACTACTTCCAGACAAAGAATCTTACTTTTCTAATTTAGCAGAGAATTCTGCAATTTTCTGCTTGCACTGATTTGCAGTTGTTGTTACATCCTCACTCTGGAAAAGATCAGCTGCTTTCTCATAATAAGTGACAGCCTGCTCCAAATTTTGCTCTTGTTCATATAACTCAGCAATTTCCTGGACATGGCAGATTCATTATGTATCTTTCAGTTGCAACCAAGCTATCAAGATACACTCCAAATAACCGTACACAATATCTATAATCATTAATGAAATGAGGTGACCATGTACTACGTTAGACAGTCACTTATCACCTTCCTATGGTATAAAAATTTAAATTTCTACATAACTTGAAGAGACTAAGCAAAAGATTTACCAAAAAACTGGACCTTACACTAGAAAAGAATTTTGACCAAACACACAGTACGGCTATTGAAAACATCAAAGAGCACATCCGGATTCTCACCGACAATATAGTTGTACCTTGTAATATCTTGCAGACATATTTAGCCTTCCAATGTCCAGAAACATGTGTACTGCCTGCTCTAGACATGATATTGCCTCTGCAAGAGGTACATCATAAATAGTTATTTTTCAGCAGAAGTAATATCTGATGAATGAAAATATGAATTCGACATGATGATTACAAACAGTATGACCATGAAATGATAAACTGATATGGTAGTAGAGTTTTGCTTCTATTTTTTATAAAATATACCAAGTCATTTACCAAAAGGTCTACACAGGGCAGGTGGGCTCAGCAATTCCCCAATAGTTGGGACAATGCATTCTTTCTACATCTTTACAGGAAGCATTTAAATACTGCTAGTATCATGTTTTTAGCATTTGCCATAAGCTAACAAATAAAGGAGATTATTCAGCTGTTAAAGGACAATAGAGAAACTATATATAAATAGGAGGGCAGTAAAATCAACTACAATACGAACGACCACGCATAGACCACAATTCTGGGACAAGTAAGCTTTTTTCATTACTAGATTGTACAAAATACCCTTTAAAGAGTTCCTACTGAAAGAAATCTAAAAGAGCTTCAATCTACTGCGCAATGGACATATATCCCAAGGATGTCAACAACACATTATTTTGGAGCACATAAGACATTCCGCAACATAAAAGAAGTGGACAAGAAGCATAAGAAGGCAACACACAACCTCTTATATTTGTCTTCTTGTAGCAATGAGCAGCATTAGCATAAGCACCAGCAGCCTCATGTTTGCTATCCAACTGAAAAGATAAGAAGAAATAGTTCAAGAATTTGAGTTTGTAGGAAAAATGAAAGGGAAAGGCGTGCTTTGTAACTAGCGGTTTTCTATCGCGTCAGCCTTTTCCCAGTGCGTGGATGCATTACTGGATTAATTCGAATTAATAGTAATAAAACTAGGGCCACGTAGACTATTCAGAGGGGTATGCTAGTCAATGATCTACTGATGTAGCTAATGTTACTAAAGCTTTTGCTAGATATCTATTGGCTTAACTGGCTCTAAACCCTCCCACCAGATAAAGAATGGAATTTCAAGTACAAGTAGTCGTCAACACTTGAAAGCTTTCTTGTCTTCACTGATCA